CATATGAGGTTACAGATGTTGTTATAGATGTTGTAACATTGAGGTTTACAGTTGGTTGCACAAGCAGTGTTTTAGATGGTAATAGTTGGATTCATCCTAATTATTTACATATCATGTGATTTGGGTGTGTGCAGGGCCCATAAGAGTCTAAATTCGGAAATTTCCCATTTCCATAACATCCCCCTGCTGGAGCATGTTTGAGACATACATACCCCAAGGAGTCACAAATGCAGTCAAGTTCCACACACACCTGCTCATACATGTTGTAGGTGGGATAATCGCCCACGTGCAGAGCCAGCTCAGATACCCACTTCTATTCACACGATGACTTGGTACGGATTTGGTACCTAAAAATAGTGCTAATTTGTAGGATTCTGACGATATCAAGAACGTCCCAATCGGTGGAGAATTGACAGAGTTCTATGTTGGGCAAGTTAGGCATGGCAGGTCACGAGCATGTGCGGGCATGGGAATCTCAAGTGGCAACCCAGAATTCCTGCCTCACTTGTTCCCACAGTGTCTAACAAATTGGTAAAAATGCTCATTGGCTGCATAATAGTTCCATTCAGCCACATTTCCAATTTCGGCTTTTAATTCCGTAAATCTGTTGAGAAATCGCTTATTTTCTTATAATTTCATATTTTGCCATCATTTCAGTTATTGATCGATATCCTTTTATTGCTACTGTTACCTTTTTTATTATTTCACCTAATAAGGTACCCAGGTGCCATATGGTACCAATATTCCCCATCTATTCTTTCTAAAAATAATTATTAGATATAATCCTGTACATACTGGATTTTGAAAAGGACCCTCCCCCAATTTCTCTAAGGTGCTAGGACATGCTAGAGTGGGTGTGAGTGAGTGGAATTCCAACAGTAGGAATAAGGGCAGCTGTCTAGCTCACAATGAGTGAGTAGTGGACGCTGAACCCGGACCTTGCAGAAATCCCAGAGAACCCACCATGGAGTTAAGGATTGAGATAAGTCAAGTTATGCAAGAAAGTAGAGTTTAGGGAGAGTTTGGCCCCACAAGCTTAGTCGGCATAGAGAGCCACTAGCCCTCTTTCAACGTCCATGTCACGACCATGCATTCTGACCCAGATGCTGGCCCTTATTCTGTTTCCTTTTGTTTCATTTTGTCACCTGACCCATTCAATTTCTTACTATATATATATATGTATATTACATTATTATAACTTTAGTCTGAATATCGACATGGTTTGTCCCCCCTAACAAGGCAGCCCAAGCCACTTCAAAATGTGGCACTGCCCAGAAGGGAGGTAATGTTAGAACTGGGCAGATTTGGACGACTTGTCATGGCTGTGCATTCCAGCCCGTTAGCCACCCATCCCGATGCCGCCCAAGTCCGTTCCCGCTATGTGAGCATGAGCGCGAGCCCCAACCTCAGCCCTATCCTCCCTGAGGACTCCCTGCTCACTCCCCTGCTTGCCCCTAGGCTCCCCTGCACCTGGCCGACTCCCCCACAGCCACACCAACCTTCCTGCCCTGAGTCCACCTCCGGCACCGTGCCCAGCGCGACTCCTCTACCCCGCCCACTTGGCCCCTACAGGGCCGCTACCATTCCCACACCCAACTCCAGCCCAACTCCGAGTCCAGCACTGCTACAATACCATCGCCACTATCGCAGCCCTACGCTCCTCCCTTTATTTATCTGTTATTGTTTGTTTTGACCCTCGGTCATTGCCGGCCACTGTGTGGCCAACCCCGCTCCTTATTCATGTTTGCTTCCGGACCCTTCGGCCTTCGGCCCAGGTCCGCTTCCATTCATTTCTTCCTCCTATATATATCCTGTATGATACTTTATTGTACCTTAGCTCTAATATCGATGTGACCATGACCCCTAAGTCCTGACCCCAACAAGGCAACCCCAGTGAGTCTGAAATGAGGGCCAAGAGACAACTAGGGGGCACAGCGCTCCTTTAGAGTCACTGAGGCCAAATGCCCTACCCTCGGGCCTTGTTTGCAGCATCATGGCCATCGCGGCCTATAGCAGCCCACAATGGTGACCTTCGGTGCTGACCCCGGACCAGTGTCTAACACGACTCTGGAGTGGAATTGGAGACTTAGCGTGGAAGGACCTCGGCCTCAGCGACTCAGGCAGAGCGCTGTGCCATTGTCAGGGGACGACTCCCGGGTCCCCATGACCCTCCCCTATGGTCCACAGCCTGACCTATGAACAGCCCTATCCAGGGCAACAACTACTGTGGGTAAGGAGATGAGAAGGAAGCTAACTTCTCATCTTCCCACAGTGGCCACCATATCAGGAAAACTTCCGGGGATACCCGGAAGTCACATGAAGGCAGGATCCGGGGCCGGACCATGCGGCACACGGAGCATGCGGCGCGGGAATGCGCGCGGGAAGTGTAGCGGGTCCGGATGCGGGTCCGGGTCCGGGCTAGTCAGGGTGCCCTGACAGCCATTGCTGGTTGTCCTAGGGGTCCCTAATTTCGGATCTAGCAGAGGGAAAGTCTCTTGGGGGGAATTCAGGTCGATTTCGGACTGAGGTTACAAGTTACTATGTACATTGTATATAAGGAGGGGTCCGGAATCAAAAGGAGCGAGGGTACTCTGAAAGGAGACAAAGGGAGCTGGAAAGAGGAACAACACTGAGGGTCAAGGGTTTGACTCAATGGTGTTTCCCAAAGGAGGAGTGAAGGGCCAAGGCCCAAGGAGTGTCACGGCCCCGCAAAGTCCCTGCCCCTCTACCACTTTCTGCACCCCCATTCTCACACCCATTACTCATGCCCGTTAATCTCGCCATTGCCCATCACTTAGCGGCGCCGATAGTGGTTCCCGTTCTACGGCCCCGTAGCAGCACCTCCTTCGTTCTCCCACCACCACTTGAGTTCCTCAGCCATTTGGCCGATACCATTTTATTCTATTCATTCACTTAACTAACTAGCGGTTGATATGGTCACCGTTGATCCGCTCCTTATTGACATTCCTTTATTGACAATTGGTGTCAGGGACCGACCCGGGGTCGAGAGCGCCTGGGTGTATCGCCCGAGGCTGAGGGTCCGGTAGGTATGATGCAGGCATGCGTAACAACGGGCCCAAAGCAGACAAGGGTCCCTGGCCACTGAGACTAAAGTGGGAAATGTGTTATTGTTATTATCAGGGGAAGTGTAAGCTACTTGCCTAAAGTGGGAAATGTGAGAAGAAGGTTGCTTCTCAGTTCCCACTTAGGCTGTGTTTATATACATGTGGTTGAAGGCCACGTGGGAAGCGCCACGTCATCCAAGCACACAGCCACCTCCATCCGGGTACCTCCATAAGAGGTCCTAGGAGCGTCCGGTATGCAGGGGGTCGTCCGGTGTGTCCGGGTTCGGGCGCGTTACACTGCAGCTGGGTCAATGGTACATTGATACAAAGGAAGTCATCCGTGTGATAAGAAAGGAATAAAGAGGAGAGAGAATAGAAAAGAAGGGGAAGAAGAAAGGGAAGGGAAAAAAGGGGAAGAGGGGGGAGGTCGGGAGGAGCGGATGGTGGGGCACCGGGTTAGGTGGGGCCGGGTCAGGTGGGTGTGCCCTGACAATTGGTTATTCCTTGTCAGGGATCAGCAATGACCCTGGACCCTATGCCGGCTGCGCGTATGCGCATGGGAAGTATGCCGGTAATTCCCATCTACTCCGCTTACCTAAGCCCCGGTGACCCGGATCATCTCCGGCATTGTTCTGGAACATTCTATGATCACGTGATTCTATCGGCAATCCGTTTGGTTTCCTTATTGCCGGACTCTACATGTATATAGCTGACCCTAAGATGGGGACATCCCTTTCCCCCAGCTTTAATCACAACTAGGTTATCGGAGCATCTTGCACGAGCATGCACGTCCCCTGACAGGATTGTATGGATATGACAGGTAAGATCTCAGGTGCAGGCACCATGACATCCTCAAATCACAACCTCCACCAGTTGCGGAGGGCACTAAAACCATCGTCCATCATTGGGCAATTTTCGAGATGAGAACAGTCTGGTAACTTCCCAGACTGGGGATCAGGCCAGTGAGCCAGGTAACTTAATGCATCTGTTGTGGATGCATTAGACATGGCCTTCATAGCAGATATGCTATGAAGACCCTGCTCCTCCCTAGAGGAGTGATTGGGCAGCAAAGTCTCCTTCACCTTATTGAGTCACACATTGGGTGTGTTGGTCGAAGCAGACACACGGCTGCTTGTGGGTGGAGGCCTCTTAGAGAGGCTAGTGAAATCTCGATGGGCCTGGTGGCCAGTTGACACAAAGGAACGTCAAAAGTGGAGATAAAACCACCCTTCACATGGACGGTGTGCTTTCCGAAGTCCAGCAAAGCTTTGTAGGTGTTCAACCATGGAGCACCAGGATTTATATGGAAGCAAGAAATCCGTCACTCGACAGATCAACTGAAAACAGCAGTAAAGTGGGCAGTGCAGAGTTTGGCGAAGCGCAAGCACTCTAGTTGAATACAAAAGCTACTTAGTTACATTTCCACATTGCAGTGCGTTCCACATTGCGCGCGTCCACGGAGCTGGGTACGAGTCTGGATCACGTGTATATTATCCTTTTGCGCTCATCTCAGAGGGGGTTTGCAGGTTTTTTCATTGCGTGTGGCACATCCACGAACGAAAACGACTGGGTACACCCCCTTGCCGTAGACGCGTGACCGGTCGTTGGTCGTTGGTCGCGTAGGTGGGCACAGTACTTCGCTTTCTCATCGCTATTAGCAGCGCGCTTTCGTGAGTTCACCCGCCGCTGTGAACCACCGTCTGCTTTCTAACTTGGGCGTTTAGCCCTGCTTGACTCCCGTTCACCTTACTTTTCGCGCATCCTGCCCCCTTCCCCACCACCGCTAACTAAACCTCAGAAACATTGGCCAGTGACTGGGGAGTCTGTTTGTATCCCTGCCCCACAGTGTCGACTATACATCAAGTATCTACCTTGCTCTCTCTTCTAGCATGCCAGTGAGGACAAGAAAGCAAGTTGCGCTGCATCGTGATCGTTCCGCCCACAACAACCATCAACCTCTTTACAAACTTTTCCCTGAAATCATTTCCGAGATCTTCCTATATGGCCTCCCGGATGTCTTACCAGCTATGATGAAGATGGGCCGGGATTCATTGAGTGGTCTGTGGAATGAGCGTATACGCTATCTCACCTTGATCACAGGCGTGTGCGCCCTGGTTCGAGGCATCATCTTGTGTGATCCTTTATTTTGGAACGTGATAGGATATGCGCGTAATCGGGGTCAAGAAACCCTGGAGGAGACATTTCTGGAAGTGATGTCTGCATTCATTCGGCGTTCAAGAAATGTGAACGTGCATCTCGTCTTGGTTGACTCCGAATCCGACCCGTTTCGCCAGACAATTGGTGTGGAAACATTGCGAAAGCTTCTTTATCCCATCCTTCCTCGGTGCTCTACTCTTGTGTACCGAGCTTATTTTCATTTTCATCATCCCTTCTTCCCCCTCCCTGGGAAGTTGAAGGTCCTAAAAACACTTGTGATCGAGGCAGTCGGGGGTCGTCGTGATAGAACGTATAGAACGTATTCCCCAATTTTTGACGACCACGACCCGGGTTGTTCTCTCGAAAACCTCAGTTTAGAGGTTTGGTGGGATAAGGATAACAAGACTTTGGGGGAGAGTTCGACTTTTGCTTCTGTGCGTACTCTGACTTGGAGCTTCCAGTACGGGTATGCAGTGGGGCAATTCCGTCGAGTGCTTTCCCTTATGCCCCGGCTCAGGCATCTTGTGGTCGACATGCATTTTGGGGGGTTTCTGAACAACTGGGATTTTAATGATATTGCCACTCAAACACCACGGGAAAAATGTATCATTCCATCCCTAATCTCGGTTCAAGTCACATTCAATGCGTCTCTTGGGTTCTTCCAATTCGTGAATGCTCCTCAATTACAACATCTGTGCCTCAGTCCCTCCAGGTCAGGCGAGACACGCCAGCGTATCCCATGCAGCTGGATTCTCAATCTTCATCCGAGCCTGACGACATTCCCAAGTTTGAAGACGATCCGCATCGATATGTCGACGTGCTCCCTAAAGGTGATGGAGAGATTACTATGTAACGGGACCTCGCTTGTGATGATTGAAATCCTATCGGACAACTACGTCGATCTTAATATCTTTCTAGACATCCTTTCAAACAGCAACACGGCCCTTCCACTTCTATCCTTTGTTCGAATCATGTGGACATCTCGTTGGTCCCCCTCGTATCCCAATCGGGAAAAGATCGCGAAGATTCTGATGAACTCCAGCGAAAGAAAGAACGTTCGGATAGAGTTTGTTCGAGATCCTGCTCAATGGATAGAGGATCCGTATCCGGCTTCGTTAGCGGAGAGAATAGAGAGTGTGAAGGGGAATGTTCAAACTGTTGAACCCCTGCACATGAGATATCAAAGGCTATATGGGTCTGAGGCGTAAATCCATTCGTTCTGATGGTTGTTCGCAGTAGGTTGTGATTTGCAGTTTTGCTCGAGAACAGCTCGCCGACATGCCATGTCACGATGACTGTCATCACACCCTCGGGGCATTTGGTCTATGCGCATTCCGAATTTAACATCTACAGTTTACAATGTACAGCACTTTCATTATGATTCCCAATTTCATACATTTCCCGCTAGCCATGAATGAATGAAAATTTACTGTGGATAGATTGGATTAGCACATAGGTGACAAACCAGGCGGCTACTTAGGACCCCACTCACTGTAATAACGGTGGGCTCGCTACGACCTAGGAATTCCGGCAATTTAGTAATAGCGAGAGCCACCTCGATAAGACCTTTCAACCCCTCTGCAGTCGGTCGCTCATACTGTGCCGGATCCTTCGAGTATCTCTCAATGTAGAAACGTACGGTTGCGCCTTGACTGCCTGTTCCGCTCAAACGGAAGACGACACGAGAACCATCTGTGAACTGAAGAATGTGACCCTGGTTCTTTGAGACACTGTTATCAATAGGATCGGTATAGGTGAAGTTAGTGACTTTGGCCACAGTGAAAGATTCGGAGACGGATTTGGCGTTGTAGGATGAGGAGATGAAAGATGGGTCAGCGAATAGCTTGTCAAGGTTGTCTATCAAGGCCTGCGCGCCTTCAGATGAAACTTCCTCATAATCATAACTGAAGCAAGGGGACTGGTGAACAAACGCGGCTATAATGTCATAAGAAAACCCACCGAGAGAAGAAGCTGCGGCCGTATTTCTGATAGTGGTCGAGTAAAATTTCGTTGATGCCCCAACCTTTGTTTGTCTGATTGGCAGCGGCAATGATGTTGAGCCAAGCTGGCAAAATGTTGATGTCAGGGGATGTCAGAAAGGTGACACTCAGCATACCTATAACAGCCCAAATTCCATCCTTCTCGCGAATGTGATCAGATCCAGTGCCGAAGGACTCTTCTCCGCAAATAGAAAGACGACCGGCATCCATCAAGTTTCCAAAAAACTTCCATCCTGTTGGCACCTCAAAGACCTCATAGCCTTTCGCCTCGGCAACATAGTCAATAGCGGCACTAGTTGGCATACTCCTTGCCAAACCCTTGACGCCACCCTTGAAATAAGGAATGCTGTCGGCCCAATCAGCGATGATCGCCACCGAGTCCGAGGGAGTGACAAACGCCCCCTTGCCGTAGATCATATTTCGATCTCCATCCCCATCGCTAGCTGCTCCGAACTGAATATTGTTCTTCTCGACGACTTCGACGAGACTGTGGGCGTAGGTTAAGTTAGGATCAGGATGACCGCCACCAAAGTTGGGAGATGGCTCGAAATTCTGAATGGAATCCCGGGGAAGACCAAGTTCCCCAAGAAGAATGGCCTTTGCGTAGGGTCCAGTCACTCCATGCAAACCGTCGAAGAGCACTTTGAAGGAGGGAGTCGAGTGTAAGAAGGATTTGATGAGGCCAAAGTCGAAAATAGATCGAAGCAGCTCGACGTAGTCCGCAACTGAATCAATGATAGTAACCTTCAAAGGACCATAAGTCTGATCGCCAATCTTCGAGAGGTCAACCTGGGACCACAATATCAGCACATTTCCAACATCTTTGATGATGTGAATCTGGTGAACATACGGGTGGTGCATCGAGGACTTTGTATGAGGTTATCGACTTTGTTCTTCCGTATATGGAGTTAGTGACATTTTCAGGGGCCGGTCCGCCATTCTGAACGTTGTATTTGATACCAAAATCAGCGTTCGGTCCGCCAGGGTTGTGGCTAGCAGTCAACAAGATACCACCAGTGGCTTTGTATTTGCGAATGATGTTAGAAGCGGCAGGAGTCGATAGGATACCCTGGTGGCCGATGATAAGCTTGGAAACACCATTCCCTGCGGCAATACGCAGGATGATCTGAATGGCGGGGACAGAGAAGTATCGTCCATCGCCTCCGACGACGAGTGTCGCGCCCTTCGCACCACCTTGTGCAGGAATAGAGTCAAGGATGGCCTGCACAAAGTTTTCGGTGTAGTGCTCCTGTTCGAACACTTTCACTCTGTATTCAACAGAATCAGCGCCGATCGCCGATCAGAAAATCGAGCGCAACGCGGGTTCACCGTTTCCTGAGTCCGGATGTGCCTGGCTTTTGGCCATCGAATGGCTTAGTGGGGATCTCTTTGATATCACTAGACATCGTTTAGGACGTTGGATATGGTGGAAAGATCGATTGTTGGAGCCGGAGTGGAGTACTAAATATTTCGGCCAGCACCTGAATTTGGGATGTTGACACATATTGATAATCCCGATGCCAAGACACGTGTCTGACCGAAATTTATTGTTATCATTCAGGGAGGTGCATGCTGTGGCGTGGCAGACCCTCAGGGAGCGCAGGGGATGGCTTGTAGATCACCGTCTACTTGTCAACGGCATCAAACAACGTTTTGATGTTGCAACCACAAGTCCCAGCAACGCGCGGCCGCAGGTCACTTAATACAGAACTGCAGGCGAGCACAACACGATGTGTTCCGGTAGACAACAATGCCTCTCGGTGCAGGAAGCCATGCCCCGGTTGCGCGTTTGCAGACCCAAACCTGAAGCAGCCACGTTTTCTTCCACGCTTTGAAAGAATCACCGCGAAGCCAATGCTGAACAGTTCGCCTATCTCAATAGCGTCCCAATGCTCGTTCAATTACTAACTGGGTAACAATCACTCAATTGTCCTGGTTGTCACTCAAGACAATGAGACATGTGGATATCGGAGTCGCAAACGGCCGGGCACGCGACTTACGTCTTCTGGCTTCTGTTATAACCCTATGGGTTGTCCAAGCATGGGAATGGCACCTACTCCTCTATCCCATAGTCCCTAGTCTCCGCTCTCGTCTCTGACTGGTTTATCAATGCCCACGAAGGTAACTGCGGCGGGGAAGCCCTCCTTGGCGCTAAAGGAGGACAGCGGTTTCCGAGGGTTTTTCAGGAAGCTGTCATTGAGTAAGAAGGGGGTGAGTTTGTCCCACTATTCCCCATTCCCAATTTACCCGCTCTTCTCGTCTTCTGGTGGTGGGCAAACGTAGTGTACTTAGTAAGGTCCTTCGTCTGTAGTCGAGTACACACGAGGAGCTGGTTGCTCCTCCCCCGCCTTACAAGGCTTCTCTATCCCCAACTTCGCCAGCCCGCGTCATTGATAATGGTACACACTACCCACTCGCATCCTCTCGAAATATTCCCCTGACATGCATTCGCGTCACGCCAGATTCCGCGACTTCGCCGTCCACGCGACCACCTCGGCCGGACCTGACTCCCGAAGAGAGGGAAAAGCGCCGCGCCCGCCGACTAAGTAAACCTCCACGCCCCGCACCGACGCCCGCTTCCGCTTGCACTCCGAATGTTGTGACCGGAGTGTACCCAACCGGCGACCCAAAACCACATGGCTCATCCCGCACATCTCTTTCTTCGTTCTTTCTTGCTGCTACTGCCACAACGCGCACAGGCACCCCCAAGAATAATGTCGACTCTTCCGGCCGTACACGACCTCCAGTCAGCGGTACGCCTGCTCGAACTCGCCCCGGGGCCTATCGCCATCCCAACCCACTGCCAAACACGGCTAATTCAAAAAACAACAATAACGCCCCTTCCATCGGACATGCGTATCATTATCAACGTACTCGCACAAATAGCAGCACTGATCTGTCGCGCCATCATGAAGCTATATCATGCCTGGAAGCCGTTCTGAAGGCCTACGATGCTAATCTCGTCACAGATGTACGGCATGTCATGGAGCAAGTTGCACTTGCCCGAGATATACTAGTTGGAGAGGATTATGCTGGGAGTGGAAATGCTAGCACAGCGTTTTTGATGAAGAGCGCGAAAACGAGTGAGTTGAGTGTTGATAGCGTGGAATTGCCGCCGCCTCCGGCAAGATCGAAGACGAGGGAACGTAGAAGTGCCTCGCCAAAAGGAAGTAGTTCTTCTTCGGACTCTTCGATGGGGAGGAAAAGTGGAGATTCACTTGGAGGTGCGAGTGAGGGATCGGAAGCATCGTCCGTGACGTCCGCCGATTCGAAGCTAGCAGGGGAGGGGAATAGGATGACGCTGTTTGCGACCATTCCATCGTTCCCGCTTGCCAGCCCACCCCCAAAACCTCTCCGCCAGTAAACTCGATGGACACTATCAACTCTTGTCGTTCCCCTTGACGAAATCCAATGATCACCGTTTAACGATATTTATTCCACTTCCACCTCGCCGTTACCCTTGTGGAAACATTGGCGTCTTACACCTGCAGCCCCCCTTCATTGAAAACTCTGGAGTATTCTTTCCACTCGCTTGGTGTTGGCCTTGTACAGTAGTTGTACATGAGAATGTACATTACTTAGTGTCGATATATGACAACTATCATAGTAGCATCATGGATGACGTTTATTTCCCTTGTGTACGTAAAATGCATCCTTGCAAATTAGGCAAATTGCGGTATTTGCCGTTTTACGTAAATGCCTGCTGAACGAACATGCTGATCTTGTGAAGCACCCTAGATCAAATCACCTCAGCCAAATTTCACAATCGGATTACTGAAATCTTTGCTGTCTTCTGCTCTTTGTTCTATTCCAATACAGGCTTGTCGCCTGCCTAGGTCTTTGTAGCCAGTTGGCTTGATCGTCCCACTCCCAGTGCCGCAAGGGCTGTTACCGCCAGGGGCAAGCTGTGTGATGGCTGTGTTCGAAGGACAATTGTAACCAAACTAGGAAGAAACCATTAATTCAAATTGGAAAGACCATTGACCCCTCCCAACACGTTGGTACCTCGAACTTAAACACTCCCTTCCTTCCCTCCGTCTGCCTCTGGAGGCTCTCCTTCCTCGAACGCTTCGAATTGGGTCTCTTACTTCTTACTGTCTCTCTTTGACATTCTCTTCCCTGGGTGTTTTAGCTCAATAGATCATATCTTATGGCCTGGTTGAAGTTCATCTTCGCCGCCTTGACCCTCATATCGCGCGCGTGTGCGGGGATCATTTACAATGGCCAGATTGACGGTCAGTAGAGGCTGTCCTCACAATGCCTAACTCAACTTATTCGTTTCCATCCCCATTGCCGTTTTACGTACATGCACCACGACTCGAACATTGCTTGCATAAAACAATACTATAGATGCCTACGACTTTGTGATCTGTGGAGGAGGCCTCGCTGGCTTGGTTATTGCATCCCGTCTTACAGAGGACTCGAACCATACCGTGCTCGTGCTCGAAGCTGGCGATTCTGGTGACGCTGTCAAACAGTCTATCGATGTCCCTTCCAATGCATACTTTTCCACCCTCCTCGGGACATCCTACGATTGGCAATTCGTCACTACGCCTCAGCCAGGGCTTGGCGGAAAGACTGCACCTTGGCCAAGAGGTAAAGTCGTCGGAGGCAGTTCGGCGGTGAATGGCATGTATCTCGTTAGACCCTCCACTTTGGAAATGAACGCTTGGAGAAATTTGTTGGGAGACATGCCTAACGCGGACGCTTGGGGGTGGGATAGAATGTTCGCATATATGAAGAAGGTTGGATGGCAGCTTAGCCATTTTTGGACAACAGTGATTTTTGGTGCTGACTTATCTGGTGGTTTTTAAACTTTTGCAGTCAGAAACGTTCACTCCTCCTACAAAGGCTGTCCAGGATGCTGGGGCGATCCAGTTTGACCCTGCCTCTCATGGATCCAGTGGCCCCTTGCACTACTCCTATCCGGGGTGAGGATTGGATTTCTATATCATTCACCCCGAACGACTGAACATCGTCAATGTGATTTCTGCTCAGATTTATCTTCCCTATCGTCGGCAATTGGACATCTACATTAGATTGGATCGGTATTCCTCCTAGTCCCGATTCTAATGGAGGAAGCGGGTGGGGAGCATTCATAGGTCTGTCGAGACATGTATAACATTCCATTGATTGAAGTTCTAATTCTACCTCCATCATTCACATTCGGTCATACAGCAACTTCGGCTATTAATCCGTCAAACTGGACCCGGTGAGCATGTCTCAACACCAGATTTTGCTATTCCAACCACTCACGCTCTCCTGTGCATCAGATCTTATTCGCGCTCCGCGTATATAGACCCTCTCCCTCCACGCCCAAACCTCGCCATTCTACCCAATGCAACGGTCACCCGAATCATCTTCAGCGGAAGCATAACAAGTGCTATCGATGGGTCTACAGGTTTAAATGCTTCAGCGGTCGAATTTGCTTCAAACCCTGGGGCAACTAGACGGACAGTTCTGGTGAGGAAAGAAGTCATCGTGACCGGGGGTGCCATCGGGAGTCCGAATATTTTGATGCATTCTGGTGTGGGTCCTAAGGATATCTTGAATAAGGCTGGAGTTCCCATCAGTGAGTGTTTCGATTGTATTCAGAGAACACACAGGAGCATGATGGATGGTTTCTTTTTGTATTCCTAGAACACACCCTTCCAGGGGTCGGACAGCACCTTCAGGATCATATTAGTACCCAAGTCGTCTTTCAATTAACACCTGAGGCTGCCGCCAGTCTCCACCAGGACACGCACACGGTACGTGCCTGCTCCAGAGTTTCCCTATTTCATGGCCAATATCGAAACTAATATTTGTCACTTTGCTTTCATCACTACTTACAGCCGGGCATCACAACTTCACGTTTGGCATCGTTCGTCAACTCGGCGATTGCCTATGCCAATGTCTCTGATCTGGTCGTAAGTTTTTTCTGATTACACAGTTCCAAGTCGCATACGACTGAACATCGTCGATAGGGACCCGATTATGCGCCGACCTTCAAAAAGGATATTCAATCCTACTTTCCAGGGGCATATGCGAAGGTTCCTAGCTCGGATCCCACTGTCAAAGCCGGTTTCGCTGCCCTTTATAACACGACGTTGAATAATATCCTGCTTACCCGCGCGGGACAAGTCGAGCTTTTGTTCTCCCTCATGGACTCGGTTTCAGGAGGCACTCATGTGGCAATCCAGGCTGCATTACAGCATCCATATAGTGCGGGGTCCTTGTACATCCAGAATAACGATCCCTTCGCCGCCCCTATCATCGATCCTCAGTACCTGTCTAATGAGGCAGGCAAGTGGTGTCCCTCTGTCCATGGGTGCTCGAAAACTGATACCGGTTTATCATAGATATTGTCATGCTTCGCGAAGGGTTGAAGCTTGCGCGTACTCTGGGTGTAACCCAGCCTCTCAACTTGAGCATCGCAACAGAGCTCATACCAGGTCCCAAAGTGAACACAGATCCTGCATGGGATGCCTGGCTTGCGACACAGGTGGGAACTGAGTTTCATCCCTCTGGTACTTGTGCCCTGCTCCCACTCTCTTTGGGTGGTGTGGTGGACGCGAATTTGAAAGTCTATGGACTCGCCAATGTCCGTGTTGCTGATTCGAGTGTATTTGCGTTGGAGTTTGCGGCGCATGTGAGTCCCGCTTTTTCTTCCAATGCAGGCGGATAACTGATGTGCTGGGTCCTCTTTCTTTCGTACAGTTGATGGCCCCCACGTACGGTCTGGCAGAGCAGGCGTCTGACCTCATTCGCGAGACGTATTGGGTCAACAAGCCAACGAGTACTACTTCGTCCGGCGCTCAGAGTAGGACGGGAAGTCCATCGTCTACCGCGCCACCATCATCCACGAGTAGAAAATCTGCCTCGTCTCAATTAGAGGCTCCTTCATTGTTCGGAGGCGCATTGGCGCTTCTTGCAAGTCTTTTCGTTTTCTGATACATTCTTCCCGCCCAAGGCCACATGTGTCATTATTATGTGCAGTGTTACGCTTTCTCCCATGGACCAAGAGACACTTTTCTACATTGCACCGTCGCTTCGATCTCCCTCTGGGTGTATATATGATGTCAGGTAACGATAAGCTATAGTGTTTTGCAATGGCATGGCCCCAACTCTTCTACACTTGGGAAGTGTCTGCGCTCGGCTCTAGTAGCTATCCGATTACCAGACTGAACAAACGTCTATCATTATCGTACATTTGGTGAGACGGTATGAGCAGTTGATCCATCTGCCCTTGTGCGATGCGAGTGATTAAGTTTTTCTGACGGACTTGATCGATGGCAATGGGCTAACACACATGCCGATTATTTGTTATTTAATGGAGGTACGAGATTAAATCAGACTTGTGCGCACTCAGTCTAAACGCACTCTTTGGTCTCTTTTCGCGCGTGGCATTTTTCCCGGTGGTGCTTAATCTTATGCGCCGTACCCGCTGTCGGCCTTACGCATACTGTGCCTTCCGAGGTTACAGTCATGCCGATTCAGGTTTTTGCCGCTGCATTCCTGGGTCGATTCTTCCGGACAATCTCATCCGTGAGTTTCGTCCGCCTATGCTACAGGGCTCTGGCCCTCTTATACCTTATCCTCTGCTGAAGGCGTGTTCTTTCTTAGTCTTTTCTTTTGTCCTGTATGCTGTTTTTTGACGAAGTCTTTCCTTCGTCTTCCTTGCTTCCGGTAAGCCTTTCGGTCTCGCCGAGGGGGAGGTGTTGTGACCTTTGGTTACTCTCGGTGGGTGGGATCCCGATTGCTTACTTAGGTTTTTCTAGGTTTCCTTTTTTCGGTTGTTTCCTTGCCCTCTGTAACTTCTGTCTTTCTTTCCTTATTGCTCGTTGTCCTTGTCGTTTGCGAAACCCTCCTCCTTCCCCGGTCTCCTCCCTATTGTAAATTAACCGGGTCGCCTTCAATTCCAGAGGTTCTGGCATTTGCCGGGACTGTTGCCCCGCTAATCGCTTGCGTCTCCTGCGTGCACACAAGTAGAATACCAACTTTGTTTACATCGGGAAGTTGTGTGGCGGTCATTCGTAGCGGTTATTCTGGGGCGCTTTGAAGCGTTGGGGGCGTTTTGCCCTTTCTTATTTTACTTTATAACTCATGTATAATTCTTGTCGCAGTCTAACGCGACATAGGTATTTACAACATAGACTTCTTATTCGAGTCTGAGTCTAACGCGACATAGTCTGAATTCTAATACCGATGACTTCGATATTCTGTACACACCTGAGTTGTGAATACTCGCACACCTGGAGAGCTGTAACAACTAACAAACATTGGGTGTAACCGACCATTTCTGAGGGACTGATCACCAATCTAGGCCACACCGAGAGAGCTAGCTACTCGATAAAGCAAGCTTACTCCCAAGTGTCCAGATGAGATTTGCACAGTCGATGAAACATGCCGGAAGTTGGTGTGTACGTTGAACTAACCCGACACGCACAGAAATCAATTTTTCCCGTTCGGAAACTGACGCCCCGCAAAAGGCTAGAGTAGCTTCCCGACCACCTTCGGGACCGAAAACAACCCACCCCGGATTCTGCTTGGCTTGCTTGGCATGGGAAGGCAAAGCCAGGTTCTTATCCTGGAAGGTTTACTTGTTCGGCTCTGAAACACATATTGTGAGGGGAGTGGAAATTGGACATCAACATCGCATAGTTTAAAAGAACCGTAGAGATTCTTGGCAGTGAAGGGAACCAGGAACTGCCCAGCAGTTCACAGCAGACTAGAATAGGGCGGAGTTCAGTTGCCGTGAAAAGTTTGTGTGAGTTGCGTTTGGCGGTGACCACGCCTCAAAAGCTGGGACTGACTCCTGTGAATCGATATGATCATTAGAACTCCGCGACTGTGATTAGTTTTAAAGCCTCACAAAGCTTACTTTCACCCATCACACTATCCCGCGGTCAGAGACGAGGATGAAGAATACGATTGCATGGGCGTCACCTGTTGATGCGGGTCTTGGACGCATGTTGGCGGTTATCTGAACTGTAAGGTCTCATCGGAGCGGCAAGAAAGCCAAGAAACACGAAGCCTTGAGAACGGAGGCACTTCGTGCCCTTTACACCTTGATGGCGAGTTCTTACAGACTAAGCCTGCTCAAACCGAAACATTCATACCAGCGGCTAACCCAGAGAGCAGAAAGAGGGGGCTAAATCCAACAAGTCTCACTAGAAGGTCCCTGATGTTGTTCTGATGATGTTTGACATCACAACCACCAACCATGAAGGCAATCCATTGAGAATTAAGGAATGCGATACAGATGCTTCGGTGCGATTCCATGGTCCGCGGAGATCACGAACCCTGACGAAGAGGGTTCGGAGCGTGCTTGGTGATCTTGATCCTGTCCCCAACGCGAAGCACTCCAGCCGCAGAGACGGGGACACCATAAACTCTGTATGATACCATGTAGCGGTAGGTCGCAGGATCGGACCGGAGGAGCGTGGACAGCACATACCCAAAGTAGTAGAGACCAGGCTGAGGAACTACCCTTCGATATCCCATCAAGACTTTGTGTGGAACTTGAGAATCGCGAACCCCAGTGGCAGGGTCTACATTGGGGAACTTCGTCCCAAATGCATTGCATCAGGTAATATCTTCAAACCAGCGAAAAACCACGCCTTACAATGCATCGCGGAACGCGCCCTGGAAACAATAACGAATACTGCTTATCCCCCACTTGGCCTTCTATCCAGTCATCTTCCCCAAAAGGTGTCTCTACTCCTAAGACCACATTCTGAAGTCAAAGGGCTGTTATCCAAGGAAGTGAAGCAGTAACCACCTTCAACGACCAAGTTTGGTCGCCATCTGTCAATACTAACTTCCCGGTTAATATCCCACTCAATGGCCCCGGCTTTTTGAGCCTCCCCGATGCGTCTCTGCGCATCGACAACCGAAGCAGTAGAAGCAATCATGAATGGACCAACATCTGCAAAGACAGTCCTTGGACCACCTTCATAGTCCAAGCCTGCAGCATCGATGGTTGCGAAAGGAACAGGACGAAGGTGAGCGGGGGGTTTCATTACTAACTTGACATGATGACCAGTAAGATTTGACAGGACGACAGATGGGTCTGGTGCACCAGGCGTTGAAGAAGGGACAACTCGACCACCTGTACAAAACTTAGTTGTCACCAAATCTGGAAAAATGGAGGGATTTCTCACTCAGGTTGTTGCCCCATAAATTAACCCCTTCAACTCTACACGACGAGGCCATTGTTCAAGCTAGTGCGCGAACAAGAGCAAATGGAACGTACTCTTCCCAGCCAAACACTTCCTCTGCAGGGGGGTCAAGTGGCATAGAAAATGACGGCACAGACGGGTCGTCTGGAAATGAGACGTCGAGCATTCCGCGCTCGAAATCAAATGATGGTTTTACTCGAGCAAGCTGAAGCAAAACCTGGTCAGTAGGTTGCCATTGAGTCGCAGCCCAAAAATTCACACCTTGATGCCTCGATTGTCCCTGGGACTTAGATGCTTGTTCTTCTCCAAGTCAACAATCATCCACTTGCGGTCGAACTTAATGCACAACTGTCGGTGATGATACAGCAACAACCAATGGAACACATCACCACACCTGAAGCCCTTCTTCGGTGAACGAAGATTCTAACAACGAAATGCCCATGCAACTCTGTCACGGACAATGAACAGAAATTCCGGCATCATAAAACACTTCGAAAGCACCTTTATTGGGTATACTGCATAATCAGGGCAATAAAGGAGTTGGGTGCTCGTAAGGCGCCTAGCTGGTAGCGGATGGGCCCACCAATGATACGGGAGAGCATGATATCTTGCTCATTTGGTGGTCGAGGACTGGAAGCACTCTTGAAGTAGCTCACAATACTAGTAGCCAATAGCTGTTCAAGGATTTTAGATGAAAGTTTTCAGGGAAAAGAAGCCAAAGATAGCCACCGATGCCATCCCCGTGGCACAGATTCCAAGGTTCAGTTAGCCAGAATGCCGCACCATGACTCAGCATATATCCTGTCGCAGCGGAATTTTCCGCCAAATAGGCCCGTGTGAAATCTCGTGACGTCAGACGTTGCGGTCACTCACGTGCCAGCAGTCGATCAATTAGTCGATGGCTCGAATATCCCTCGATGAAGAAGTACGACTATGGAATACGAACGCAGAGAGGGAGAAATACGAATCGCTAGCGACTCTATATGGCATCATCGTTTCGCTAGACTACCTCGAACGAGCATACGTGCGTGATTCGATAACCGCCGCTCAGTACGTACCCCACCTCGTGGTTCCTTATCGAGGAGAGAGAGCTTAGAAAATATGGGTTAGGAAGGTATTCCCCTGCATGCACAAAGCTTCTCGGCCAATATAAGACTATGCTTAAGCTGGTATCCGATGATGTTCCGAGTATCGAAGAATTCATGAAACGATACAGAGTCAGTCATTGAGAATATATGGCAGCGACAGGATTCTGAGGCTATCGCTATGCATAGATGGAGCATCCTGCAGCCTTACATCGGCTCAAAGTTGACGTTCCTGCCACTGTCGAGCACGCTTCTGACCAATCAGGGACTGAGACAGGACAAGCAGTGGCTGAAACCACTCAAGTGAGCATTTATCCTTCTTCGAGTTGAGCAACATTCACTTTTATTTAGAATTTCATCACATTCATGGATGCCCTCAAATTGCGATTACGAGCAAAGGATCAATTACACCCCCTTTTGCAAGAGCTCATGACAGGGTACGCCCGCTTTAAGGGAAGCGCAGAGTGGCAAGGAAGAAGCAAGATGATTGGTTGGTGAGTCCCTGGTTCGTTTATTCCTCGGATTGCATACATTGATCCTTGGCAGGCTCATAACCCTGAACCAAATGAAGGCTTCGGATGAGATCAGTGATGAACAATCCCGCCAAGTAAGATACGGAGACCTCCTCGACCTTGAAATTTAAGTTCACCTGACGTGGACGACCACAGATGCTATTTGATATCGACCATGCCTACCAGGAGTTCTTCAGCTCCCTGCGGACAGGACAGTCCGCTTCGCCTAGTACTTAGGTCTCTGGGATCAGAACCTTTAGTGACTTCATGTGATATTTTGGTGAAAACGTAACGGCGTATATGCAAATGAAAGGAATCCAGACGAAAAATCATGGGAGTGCACAACCCAGTGCAAAGGACCACTGAGAGGACGTTACGGGAAGAAACCGAGAATTAAATTAGGCACGGACTAGCCATTTGCAAAATATCCCCGGTGGGAGAAGCAGAATCGAACGAATACCAAATGGTAGGTAATAGGCCAGTCGGGGGTCATAAAAACGAGGCCGTGGCATTCTCTCAGAAAATTCTCCGTGATGCTCTAGCAGAGCAAACAAACTGGACAACTTTTGCTAGTATCTGCCTCTTGCCACTATTTGACACCTTTCCCTTCGACTCAACTGCAACATCAAGTTGGGCAGGCCCCCGGGTGTCAGTGGGACGTTGGAACGGCAGAATGAAGTCCAAGTCATCGTCAGATCCCCCAAACGCATAGAAAGACGAGCGTATCACTGGAGAGTTCATCACGAGCCGAGGTCCACAGATGCGCACAGGGTCCATTTCATCGTGGTCGTGGACGGTAGTGCTTGGTGTGATGGCTGGAATGTAGGTCGGCATTGAACTGGGACGACGAGGAGCATCGTAAAGTTGTTTCGACGCCTTCACGTTGAGGTCCCTTGCGATTGATTGGTCGGATAGTGTGGGAGTCATTTTACCCAACTCGGAGATTAGAGGGTAGGGAGATTGGAGGCACATTATTATGGGACTGTCACAGGCAGAAGGCGTGAAGGGCCCCAGAAAGGAAGCTGGAGAGATGGAAAGGGGCGAGTCCGAACAATCTCCGAGAAAAGATCGATCCACCAAGGAGCTCGAACCGAAGGAAAGGTAAGAGTATGAACGGCCACAGGAAGGGGCAGGGTTCCGCACAGGAGTAGGAATCACAGGAGAATCAGGAGCGGGAATTACAGGAGACTCGGCGGCTTTGACGAGATGAATTGGGTTGTGGTGGCAAGATTCAACGATTTGCTGAATGTGAGAAGGCAACTACATGGGTGATACATATGTAAGCCCGAAATGTGCATGTGCATTACAACTCCTTACCTCGGCGTCAGTTTCATTGGATATGTCAGGGCAGTAGATCCAAGTGGCATTGCGAGCAGATTGGAGACACATGACCCTCCATGCATCGCCTCCATTGGCGGGGATGAGGCCATCCTCGCTCGAGGATTCAATGGACCAGGCGCGGTCAATGCCATGAGGCATTGGCAAAAGATTGTAGACAACAACACAGCGCTTTGGTTTCCAAACGTGAACACGAGGGCCAAGAGCCCCTTGTTGAATATCACGAAGGATTAAAGCGGAGAGAACAGAAGACCAAGAGTGGTTAATCGCAATGGAAGCGCTAGCCGAAGGTTCGAGAAGATAAGGGTTCAGCTTGAATTCTAGCGCACGAATCCAAGCGGTATCTTTGGGGTCGTCAGGTCTGAGCGCGTGACAAGGAACAATAACTTCGAAAGAGGAAGATGAGTTCATGATCGGACAGAAGATAACCACACGAGGAGCCTGGGAGAATGGGCAAAAAAACAAGCAGCTTGTAGGCCGCGAAAGTTGTTATTTAAGGACTGGATCGAGATCCGGCCCAGACGTAAATGATTTTCTCCCAGACTAACGTTTCGTTTAGGACCATCAATACTGTTGATTACAGTTTCGACCGTACCTCATGTCTTGGTCGTGACTGAAAACAAGGGTACTAAGCTGGTCTAATTGTCAACCCAGAGGGGACTGTGTGTATGCTGAAGGGCAAAACTTGTTTGCGCATTATTCGTACCCACGGGAGTAAATATGCTGACACAGTGAGCCGAGTCATTATCCGCGCCGACCCTCCGATTTTTACCACGTCTGGTCGGTCTCTTGCTACTTTTTTGTATCGTTACTTCGCAGTCGGAATGTAGGGTTCAACGCTTCATTTTGGACATTTTTAGGAATTCCCTGGAGAATGAACTTTCATGATTTAAAAAATCGTGTTTGGTCACCTGAGAACTGTGAACCCAACAATGCCCACCTTTTCGCTCACAACCCTGTGGAATATCCAACTCGCTATACCCTAACCTGGCTAGACCACGCGACTGTGGCCCCGAAAATTGTATAAATTCCCCAACTCATTTCACCCACAGGAGTACCTATCCTCTCAACTCCCCATCATGAGCCAAAGAGCTACTAGTTTCTCTACCCTCACTACTGGAGCAACGTCATCACACCCTGGCGCCCCCGCAAGGGTAACGTCTTCTATCCTCTTGACCGCGAGTGACGATCTTGCTAGGCAGCGCGCTATTCTCAAGGAACGTCTCGTTCTTGGTTTGCGCATCCTGCACAAGCATGGCTTCGAGTATCACGTTGTAAGCCCCACGAACCCTTCGCAAGAATAGTTGGATAACGAATGCCTTATCAGTCCCCCAGGATAACCGTCCGCGATCCAGGCGACCCTAACACTTTCTGGGTTCACCCCATTGGACTTGCCTTCAAACGTACGTCACACTACCTCCTAACTCTACTGAAGCCGCCTAATTCCCACACGTGTCAAATCAACGTCTCTGTAGTGGTAACGTCAACCGATCTCATGCTGGTCGACAGAGATGGCAACTATCTTGGAGGCGGCGGCGATCGCTGCAGGAAAATCAACGTCACTGCGTGCAAAGTTGATTACCCTGTCTTTACTGCTCGTCCTGTATGTCACGGGCGTGTAATTTACCGAATTCTCCAACCCCGGCTAATGATTCTCTTCTAAACAGGACATTACAACGAGTAAGTCTGCTGATTGAATGCGTGGGAATTGGCCAGAAGACCGACGTCATTGGCATCTCCACAGTTTGCCACATCCACTCCACTCATGGAATGGCGTTCTCTGCTCTTGGGCGACATGTATGAAAATTCACATCCACTTGGAGCTTTCGGCTTAACTAACATTTTTAATGCAGCTGGACATGCTCACTCAGGAATCCGCCGTCTTTTTCGAAGAGCATAACTTGTACGCTGGTAGTGGCGAACTAGTAAGTAAGTCACAAGAAGGTCGTGAAGTTGCCGAAGCTCTTGGGAAAGGGAAAGCGGTTATTCAACACAATCATGGCCTCATGTGAGTCGATCATGTTACTTGTTTGGCTGTATCATTCACCAGATGTACCCCTAGGACGGTCGGTACAACGATCGACTCAGCCCTGGCATGGGCTATTGTGTTCGTCCTCAATTTTCTTTTTTAGCACTGGTCTCGTGAACTGATTGTGCCTTAACGGGTAAACTCTCCTGTTCCAGACTCGACAAGGAGTGTCAGGTGCAGTTATTGACTCTTTCTACTGGTCTTTCTACAGTCAAGATCCCTCCTGAGGATGCCGCTTTGTTGAGGAGTTTGGGTGGAACCGAGGAGGACGGTGTTAGAAAAGCTGCGGTGAGATTTTTCGCTCTGCCATGGGAATGTAGTTCCTTATTAATTAATACAGATTTACTTCCAAGAAGCTGAAGCGGAATATTTCAGCGAGTCTTACCGCAAAGGATACCCCTAGCTTTGTTGTCGTGATCACGTCACACTTTGCACGCATTATTGTTAGTTCGATTGCTACCCACAAGCAATACATGTATATACATGTATTATATCCTGTTACGAGTCCTGATCACCGAAAATTATTTCGCAAGGGCGATAATTTGTCCAGAATCTCGATAACCCCTTTGTTGAAATTGACATTAGATGCACTAATGCCCCGTGGCTATCGTCAGCTGCTCTGGACACTGAATCGCCCCTCGAACCACGTGTTGTCCTCCCCCGACGCTCGGATAATGACCAATGAGAGTTGACTAAGCCCTGTTAGGCTGGCTTGCGGGGCATTTGTTTGTGGGGCCAGACTCCATCACTCAGTTTCCCCGAGGTTTAGCCGCTTGCTTGTGGGTTGCTTCCGGGGAACCAAGTTAGGCTAGACCCTCGGGACAATCGGGCTCGAGATTTTTTCCATGGCGCGTTCTCATGGTTGACTATTTCAGGAGAAATTCAGATTAAAGCCGAACCGCCTTGGTCACAGTGCCCCGCCTAAGCGGGCCGTTCTCCCGCGTTCCGAAATCCATCTGCACTGGATTTTTTTGAAGATGAGTTTCGGTGGACCGCTTATCCAAGAGGGAATCGAATTATTGATCATTGATCGCATTTCATGAGGAAGAATCACCCAAGCCGAAAGTGTGGACCGCGGAACCGCGGCGAGGGTAACACCAATCATGATGAGAGAATTATGGCATGGGAGCAACAGATCGATGGAAGTTCGTCTGAGGAACATTCGAGATGAGTGCAGTAACAACGAAGTGTGAACGTGGCTTCATTGAGTGAATCGAATTCCCCGAGACAACCGTAGATGCGTCTTTACCCCCACGAAATGAGTGTAAACGGCGTACCTATTGGAACGGAACGTCAGGAAGCAAAGAAGTCATCCACACACAGCAGCTTGTCTCCAATGTCCGCCAAGGATCGCAACAATGAGGTACCGAGCGTCCGGCGCATCCAGCGCCACCAACCGACCCGGGAGATCCATCGCTTGCTGCATATTCGATTTGGGAGACTCATTATTGAAATTATCAAGCCATCAGGGAGACATGATGTTCCTTATGAGCAGAAATTTCGCTAGTAATTATCCTTGCAGCGCAGCAGTAGAAGCTGGGGGCGATTCCAGGCCTGCAGGCTGTAACACATCATGACGAACATGTGTTGGGATAGGGCATTTCCTGGAAACATGCTATGCGAAGTGTTCTTGCAACGCGCGGCGCGTGCAAATGGAGGCTTTGCTGTTCGCTTCCTAAGGAATTGGTCTTCCCCGCGGAGCAACTGAGCTCGTATCGGACATGCACATACGGCTAGCCGGCCCCCGCCACAATTTGGAGTCCCACGTGCACGACGCCTCATTCGAGGTGCACTCAAGGGTAAATGGGCCTAGGCTCATTGCAACGAAACGGGACTGGAAAGATAGGCGAAATACCAGAGAAGCAATATCTAGGTGAGGCCGAGGATTGTTCATTGCTTCTACTTGGGCTATGTAGTACGTCCACAGGACCCAAGGGAACCAACTTGTGCTGCCTAGGAACCCGCACTTCCAGGGGTGCATATCCTTACGACATTGGCACGGTGGCAGATAGCCGGTGAGGGTCAGAAGCACCAAAATGATATGCAGCAATGACAAATTCTGTCTTCAGGAACCAGTGGACTGATGAATAGGTAGGCAACGCGTAAAGTTGGAGATAGAGATAGACGGTAGCCTACGGTACATAGCATAATATTGAGTTGGGAGCAGGATCGGTTTGGTTACATGCTTTGTTCGGGCAAAAGTGAGCTGAGCAACGGCAGATGCTGGAATTCGTGTGTCCGGCGCAGGCGGTGCATTTGAATCGACATGATACCTATACGAAATGGGCGGCGGGGGGTCTGACCGTCGTCCGGTCCGACCAAATTTTAAACATGTCACGAGCTGGAGGCAACACGTGGTGCCACCTTCCATTCAGGTCATGGCTGTCCGACACCGCGGAGAAACGAAGCTGTGGGCTGTTGCGGTTCGTGTGGATTCAAACAGACCATTCGTGGTTTCGCCGTGTTGTTATGAGCTTGACTCGGCTTCAAGACTTCGCCCGCGATTAAGTACCTTACCCTAGACCAGACTAGCGATGAAGCAAAATTACGCCAGTTGCTCATGGGGATACACCTCTTGACGTCCTTGAGGCCATCTTTGGCAGGAGCAATTTGAGTTGTCTGGTCTCCCTGAGCTATGAAACAGCCTTGCAGTTGTTGTGAAAGAGCCTTGCCAATAAGGGCTAGGGCATTCAGAAAGGCACGGTTTTTGGAGCCATAGAACCCGGTCCTCAGCAATTCCGTCTACGAGTTGGTGCTGGTTGCAGACTACACAGTAGGAGTAATCTCATATTTGGCTGAAATTGGAATTGCTCACCAGTCCAGCTTATGGGGCTTGCTACGACTTGAAATCGATGTCATAGTCCTTGAAATGCTTTGGAAAAAAATCTTTTTCATGAGCACCAACCACAGTCCCTATTTTCTTTGGACACCTTATCGAATATGTGAGTATGGTCTTCCCCTCTTATGACGAGGTCGAATTTCCAAGCGTTATGTTTCTCAACCTACGCGCCCTTATTGTGGCCGAGAAGACGATCGGTTACGTCCCTGGATCTAACCCGACCGACGATAAGGCGTGCCATTGCGGCATGTCTCAAACTGGAAATTTCGTCCAGCGCCCGACCCATCGTTACGGTTCGGGCCCCCATGCTATTGGATGGGGCCATTTTGCAGCTAGAACTTATGCTCCAGTCACTTCTGTCCAGAGGCCCGCCATACGAAACCCGACAAGTCACCCAGCGTTTGGGAAGTCTCTGGATGTTCTCAACGAGATCGAAGATCTTGGCAATGTCAGCTTATCGAGGGTGACCCGGCATTCTCTGCCGCTCTTCCAGCACGGTTTGCGGCACATTGTTCGTTTACCTGTCCTTCCTTGCGAAAAATTAAGGGGTTTCTTCCCCTCTGCGGAAAGCCAGAACTCGAGCTACCTTTCTAACCACAGATACGCTTGTGGTGCTTACCGCATAATAGCCACAGCGCTTGCCACTGGTCATGTAAGATCTATAACTTTAATCGGCCCAGAGAACTCTTTCATTTCAATCCACACCCTTGTCATGTGCAACCTAATTAGGTTGGCTCAGCACAACATCCATTCCTGAGTTTCTGTCAATTCCATATAGCCATCAGCGAGAGATGGTATTGGGATCCAGTAACGCACCACCACAAGCGTATGTGACAGCTGGGAAGATTAAGTATTAGTGTGTTCGCTTTGTATTGCCAGATTAGTGATATAGATGCATTCTGCCATGTGAGTGCCTAGCCCCCCACCGAGAGACAACAGATACGATTGATGCAATGGACCAGATAGTGGAGAGTGTCGCACGTTTGAGTGCAACCGATTTCTGGCTTCTACACTTCGGGATTGTGAGTTCGGAGTCACAGACTACATCAACGTTACAAATTACTCATCACGCAGTTGCTATAACATTCTTGGTACTATGGTAGGTGGTGACTTGCAAATCGAGAACGATGCGGGAGACGGCTCTCACATTCTGGTTGACCCTTTCTCCAACTGTATGAAGTCTCCGAAAAGGCTTGCGAGCGGACGGGAAAGACTGATTGGCGCATTCGTAGAATAACTGCACTGCTCTCTGGAGACTATCTGTGGGCTCACGCAGGGGACGGTAGTGACGAGGTTCGTCTTGCTTCACACTGGTTCCTGCTGAAAGCCTGACCAGTTATGCGGTGCGATCATCGTCACTTTATCATCGCCATGGCAGACGATCTTGTCGCTTACCTTAGAAATCACAAGACACAGGGGACCTCTACAAAAAGCAGAAAACTTTCCCCTTTGACATCATATACAATTTGTTGCAGTACTGCAACCTCGCAATGCAGCGAGTCATCCCACTTGTCAATCGAGATTGTTATACGGTGACACACCAATGTTTATGAAATCATATTGCGGTGCGATCTTTCCGTAAGGCTACGCGCTCACTATGGCCGTGGACGCATCCCGTTGATTTGATATGGGGTTGCGAAACATCATTCGAGACCCAAATCGGACTAGATGGATACCCTGTCAATCCGAGACAACATTCCTGCAACGTTTTCACCACTACGAAATCAATCACCCCTCCTGCCTGGACTGGAATCGGATCGTTTGGATCGCGACAAGTTCGCCGCTGCTTCTCAAAGCACTGTCACAAACGAGTCGCCTGGATCATTTGGACCTTTCTTCCTTTACAATCCTCTCATCTAAGCAACTTGCGGACGCCATTACACCCCCTTTGGTCTCTGGATCACTGCAACATTCGTTCCTCGGTGTGCCGTTCGGGTGCTGGCCGAACCTCCTCCGTACACTTGCCAACCGTCTATTCGGCATCTCGTACTCACCCATCCGATGACGTTCGTAGTCACCAGCGCCATGGACGCTCCACCCCTCCCGCCGCATGCCCCAGTTTGCAATTCGGCCAGCACAACCGGTGACCGCCCTTTGCAGAGACTCCGAGTTCTCAGGGCCCCGCATAGGTATCCTTCAGCCACACCAAGGCACTCTGATTTAATGATACGCGGCTTCCGATCCGTTGCTTTCAATGACTGGTTGACTGCGTCTTGAACGGCCCTTCATTTTCATCAGAGAATTTATCGGGAACCAGGGTGAGTTTTGGGACGGTTACGCCATCTGGCGCCAATCCACTCGATCTCCAATCTAAAAAGGCTCCACATATGCTGCAAAGACCATGTCCGCTTTCCTGTTGTTCGCGAGGTGTCTTTGAGGAACTCGTGGAGCGATGGGACTGCTCACATGCGAACACCATGAGGGGGTCATGCACGGGTCCTGGTGGGACGGGACGTGTGAATACTAGCGGTCAATGGGAAGGACCCGGGTTGCGAGGGCCTGTTCCAAGGCAAGCCCGAAGCTGTAGAGGGTGTACATAAATGGGGGGGGGGCTAAGTAGGCCGCAAGCGAACCACTGAACGCTAGATGGAATAACATTGGTACATTAGGGAAATTGTGTATAATTTTCTTATCGTTTCGTTGTAACATATCCTTTGATCCGGCTTATTTAGGTCCCTTTTCTGTTACAACTTACAAGTGAGGTCCTTGTCATGGCTGACGGAATTGCGGTACATGCTTCAGCCCAATAAATAACCAAGGAAGGAAGCAGACGCTAGGGGAAGTGGTATGCACCGAAAACATAAGCCAAGCCGCTACACAGTCGCGGTAAGTATCAACAGGAACTAGGTGTGATGGCTCGCAATGGGTGTTTGCGGAAGATCGAGTTTTGAATCTTGGTGTTGGACTAGTGTTAGATTATACGGTATGATCAGGCGCCAGGTGAATTACTGGCGCTGTCAACTCGCAGCATATCAGACACCAGTCCAAACTGATGCGAACGCGATGGCGGACTGGAGGATGAGGGAAACTTCGAGCCCCAACTCAAATTCTCACCCCAACGTGATTGGTGGTGTGAATTGGATTTATGAAGATAATCGAGTGTGGTACTTAGAAAAAGTAAAAGGCAGTGGAAGGGGCCACGATACCAAAGGGCATCGGAATGCCACGAGACTTTGAGTCATTCCTTAGCTGTATTGTAGCGGAGTTGGCCGAATCTATTTGTCTATTTATGACACAACCAAAACAAGGGTCGTGAGAATATTTCCCCGCACGGAGGCTGAGCTACCATGAAGCTCCTCCAAATTCTGAGCCCACTGCTCTCCACGATTATACCGAGCCTTTTCTCTCCGGAACAAGACACAGAATATGTCACTCAGCGTATCGCGACCGCTACCCTTCGGCCAGTATCCATCGAACTCAAGCCTTGGTTCAACAACCGCGCCGTTGGACCGGACGCTAACTTTGACCATCACAGCGGGCATTACTGGGCCTCCGAGCTACTTCCAACTGGGACACTTAAAGTTGGCTCTGTTGATGTGCGTGATTCCTTGTCATTTGATTTGGGACAGGGGATTGACTCCTTTAATGGATATCCTTACCCACGGACTTTACTCCAGTTCACTTTACCGTTGGAGTGGGACGGATCTTTTGACAATGTCGTCTCAGATGGCCAGGTATTGCCCGCTCCGTACCCAGTACGCTTCGCGAAAGAGTTGCATGTCTTATATGCTGGGGACTTCATAGATGGTCTGATGGTCACTTTCCGGAATTTATTGGTTTTTAACGCAGATTGCCTTCAGGTGAGACCGGCGCACATTTTACGTTTCACTTTGAAGATGGAACTCAACAAACGGTAGAAGGTGTGGGGTTTTCTTGTGTCTCGATCCTGCCTTGACATTGTTAATTAGCTTCGATACACAATTGGTAAAGCATGAAGCCTGTTTCAGTAAATCGACGGGATTAAAAAGTCATGGTAATAGGTGGAATTTACACTGGATCAACACTGGCGGGGCCATTCAGACGTGAGTAGGTTTACCCATCAGACCTTCATCAGTGTATTACAACGATATCCTTTCAAAGTCCCTATCACTATAAGCCTGGAGGCGAAAAAGACTACAATATCACGCAGATGTATACATGGACCACATCTATCAAGAGTGATTCTCCGCTAACATCGATCCAGCTTCCTTTCAGTTCTACCTCGTGGAATCGTCTTCATATCTTTGCCTTGACCATTGTTCCCAGCATTGACGAAATAGGAGGGGAATTCCCTCTCATCTCACTCAGCAACCTGCGCCTTACTACTAAGTGGAAACACATTGATCAACGGAAGGCGTTCGCTGTGGAACTGCAAATAGCAAATATACTTCCGACCGCCTTCTCTGTGAAATCCGAGTTTTGGGTGGACTTTAAATTCAGCGTGGCCTATATGTCTGATGTCCTCACGACGATTCAAGAAGGGGAGGTGTATCGTTTAATGCCGGGAGATCAAGTCATCGTCAAAATTTGGGTGACGGCTCGACGGCCGACCGACGAGGGAGATCTTCGTAGATCACTCGCCAACACACCTGGTACACTGCGCTTAAAGGGTTCAGATGGGCGAACGATTTATGAAAAACACGTCCTACATTTGAAGGGTGATGGTGAAGAGGAAGTTGATCCTCTTCTGAGAGACGTACCCCAGTGGTGGGAGGAGGCTAAACTAGGTATATTTATGCATTGGGGCATATATGCTGTCCCAGGGTGGGCGCCTCCTGGACCGTGAGCCTTTTTCTTTCGAAAATCGTCAATTCTCACCATCAAGGTTTTGATAGTTATGCGGAATGGTACTGGTACCATCAACACCACGAAGACTATGATTCCTGGTCTTTCTGGACGCACCACTTGAATACTTATGGAAAGGTAATGTACTATAGCGTGGTACCTCCCTAGAATAACTTATCACCCGTTTTCATCTCAAGGATTTTGTATATGATGATTTCATACCGCAAGTTGGCTCGAAATTCAATGCGAGCGAAATTGTCAGAATCGTTGCCGCCAGCGGTGCCAAGTACTTCATCCCGACCACAATGCATCATGATGGATTCTGCATTTTTGATTCAAAAAACGCGACGCGCCGTAGCAGCGTTCATCTAGGCCCTCAGAGGGATTTCTTGGGAGAGCTCTTCGATGCGGCAAAGAAGGAACAGCCGCACCTTAGGAGAGGAACGTAAGTCTGTCCCAATTAACCCGACAGCCGATGGTTTGACTTACATTACATCATCTCACGAGGTATTTCTCAATGGTTGAGTGGTACAATCCTAACGTCGGAGATGGTGGGTACGGATGGGGAACGTGGCCGGGATGGCTTGCGCGAAACGCCTATGATACATCGAAAGAGGAGCTGTACACTGGGGTACCTCTGGTGGAAGACTGGCTCCGCGACGAGCAACTTGCCAAGATGAAGATTTTGGCTGAAGATTATGAAACTGAGGTTATGGTGAGATTCTACCACGCTTTTTGTTCCGTGCTTTGTTAATGCTGTTCCATTGTTTAGTGGTGCGACATCGGTAAGTACTGTCGAGCTGCTTCAAGGAAACGGGTTTCCTTACCATTGGCAGGGGGCCCCAACATGACAAGAGAATTCCTCGAAGACTGGTTGCCTTTTGCTGATAAGAAGAATCTCCAAGTCGCCATGAACAATCGCGCGTGAACTTTCTCTATGTGGCGAATGTCGGACACTGAACCTACTCGTCAGGTTGTGGAACACGTCCACAGTTTGATACACCAGAGTATACGAAATTCTCTTCCATTCAGGCAAATTTTTCCAGTTGCTCCTATGTCTTGGCCTCATGCTGACCCTCGCACCTAGTATTCCAAATGGGAATCAACCGAATCAGTCGATCCCCACTGTGAGTCTATGAAGGAGGAAAGCCGCGAAGTGGCTTACCCACTATTGTCCAGCATTTGGATACAACCGATTGACTGCCCCGCATGACTACCGCAGCGCATATTATCTCATTCATACTCTTGTTGACATTGTCTCTAAGAACGGCAATTATTTGCTTAACATTGGCCCCGATGGGGATGGTGTGGTTCCACCTCCAGTTGTTGGGCGATTGCTCGAGATGGGTCATTGGTTGGGACATTCCGGAGGGTGCATATATGGGACGGTGAGTTCCGCCATCGCGCAATACAACCATTGTGTCGTGTGTTGACGTACATCTACGAAGCAAACCTTTTATCCAGGGGCAGAGTTCAAGGCGCTGCGATTCACTCGCACACCCACAACCTTCTGCATCATCTCCCTTCATCGACCTCAGGATGAGGTGGTTATTATTAATACGCACATACCCCTTCTTGAGAATGACACCATCAGCTTGCTCGGGGCCGGAGACGTTGGTAAGAGCCTCCAGTGGGCAAACCTTGGCGGCACGTACATCATCAAAGTACCAGAAGTGGCCCTCAACAAGGTGAGCTTTATCACACGGCTTCAGATTGGATTGCCTAATTTCACGGCAGGTCAATTATGCTTGGGCATTTCAAGTCGAGTATGCAATGTGATTTCTGGGAACCTGTTTGCGTCAACAAAATTTCGAAAGCACACTGTGGAAACAGATTGTTCAAGTACTATCACAAATCAATGCTTAATTATTCTCCCCAGGCGCTTATTCTGGATGAAAACTTATAGTTTATCGACGTCAGCAGCTTTGCAGCGATCGTCAAGGTCCCAAAACCTACAGACCCTTGATCCCTCTACCGCTCGATTCGAGGCTTCTAAGCTGGTGATAGCATCCGCGCTGAATCAAAGTCTAGAGTCGCGTGTACAATAGTTCCGAAAGTGAACTTGCAGAGCCGGACTCCAACCTCCGCTTTCCCCAAAGATCCCACCACGGCCTCTGGCCCAAGCTGTCATGTAGAATCAGTTATGTAGCTATTAGAAGGGCGTCCCAAATATGACAACCCGTCTCCCAGCAGTTCACTCGTAGCCCAGATGTAAAATAACTTCAGGAATGTACATACGGCGCTGAAGCGCCCATATTCATGCGTCGCAGTAATCAAGGGGACCGCCGGGTGGTCACAACGAGTTGATTCTGTAAGCTGTGACCAGTGGAAGGGGAATTGATGAACACGAGCCATGTCCCGGAGGGCAATGGGGCGCTGCTGGACTAAGTTCAAATGATTATGTCGTTTCTTATCAGATGGTTGCATCATTGGCCGAGCTTGCGAGGCGTTGTTTACAGAGGGGTTAGTTTTTTTTTCGTGGGAATATACCGTGTGAAAGTGCAATCCCACCCCCCCATGGCCACCCCATGAGAAATGGCCACCCCGTGGGATCTGTGCAACATCGGATCCAAATGTATATCTCATCCGTGCAATGTGTGTGCCACAAAATATTGCGGCAACACTTGCAGTGTTGTATGTTAATAAATACATAATAATCATAACAATCATTTAAACTATATATTTATTAACTTTGAGGGAAACTTAGGCTCTATGTAGCCTTTTGACCTTATCAACATAAGAGGGATGGCTCACCCGTGATATTGTGGCTGTGCTACATACACGCGCGCAAGCTGCAGCCCTCTCTCTCCCTCTCTGCAACTCCTTGCTACTGGCTCTCAGGCCCTTTCTGCAAAGCCTTAAGTGCCCTGGGCTTAGGATTTTGTATAAGTAGTACTATTTGGAGCAGATCCATAGGGTTCAAAGGTCTACTGAAGTGCGACCCCTGTCCCCCAGCCCCTGTGTTAGCCTGCACAGACTGGGATCAGTTCGGCAGTTTAAGACCAGCACCTCTCATAGCCTACAAGTTGTAGGGATTCCTGGCCCCTTTTTTCCTTTTGGAAAATACGTCAGCCTTGCTCCTTACTGCAACTTGTGCAGCGAGCCTGTTCCCTGCTTCACAATAGGAAATTTATTCAATTTGCCTGTAATAGGGCATATTGCCTTTGCAGAGGCCTTTTCTGTTTATACTGTGTGCACATTGAAGCTGTGGGTGCAAGAATATTTATAATTAACATCTTATGGAGTTAATTTAAATAAATTTTTAGATGCCAACTGAGGATGAGATCCTCCGTGCAGAGAAGATGAGGAGAAGAAATGAGAGGAAGAAGCTGAATCATGCAGCTAGCCAAGGATCGCTACATACACCACTCACTCAAATCCATTCTCAATCAACTGTTGCTGGGCCCTCCCAACCACCCAACTCTTCTGGGACATCTCAACAGAGATCCCAACATAATCGAAATCCATCTATTGGGACACAGCTTGCCCTTGACCTTCAACAACTGGATGTCCAATCTCAGGTTGGGTCTGAAACCCCTGAAATTCCTAGGAATACACTACTTATGTTGTATTCAGTTCTCAGTAGAATACACAGAATAACTTTCTACACAGAAATCACTCCACCAAGCTCTGCTGGTCCTCGACTTCACTCTGACCGTCTCTCACATACTCCTGAAGAGACACGTAGACAGCACCAGAGGACTCGTATTGGGTCTCCAGCTCAAGGTGGAGCTGATGTTGGCATGTATTCACCCTCTGGGCCTCTTGAGCCTTTCTCCCTTCCTGGGCCTTCATCTGTGCCTCAAAGTCATCATCATGAATCATCTCAAGATTCCGTTCAAGTTCATAATTCTCCAGAGCCAATGCAAAGATGCAATCATGGCCATAATGCACCTGTCTCTGCATTTGATGGAGATAGGAACAGGTGTCGGAGATGTATTGACACTGATCACAGGTACAAGGAGGCTCGCCAAAAAGCAGCCCAGGAGCGAATGGTGGATCAATCTTCACCTCCCCCCTCATCTCCCATTTCATCACAGGAACAACCTTCTCCTGCACCCTCTAGGCCATTATCTCCTCTGCCTTCATCCTCACCTCCAGACCTATCAGATTCACAGTGGGATCAAGGGCTCAATGATGAAGATTTGATGAGAGGATTTGCATCTGCAGTATCCGCCAATGATCGTGCTCTGTTAAAAAAGTTTCGAGAAGAGCTGATGAAGGTTCAAATGGAACACTGCGATGCTTGCCATGAGACATGGTTTGACTTGAAAGTCAAGGATGGACATTGTGCGAAGTGCAGAAAGGATGCGATCAAGTATACAGCAGCAAATTCCATGGACTCAGGCTGCAAGCCACAGTTCATTGTGGACGATCCTTCTTTGGAGCTCACACAGATCGAGGAGATGCTGCTTGCCCCAATTCATGTTGTCATGCAAGCCCACACTGTGTATGGTGGACAGATGAAGTATTCTGGACACATTTGCAACTTTGTCCGTGATACTTCTGAAGTTCGCCAGTTGCTCCCCATCCTTCCTGAGGAGTGTGAAGTCATCCAGATCCAACGGGAGGGTCCAGATCATGTCCTTGGTCATGATGTCCAGCATCTCTACTATGTTCGGCGCCATGTTGTTCAGCTGTGGTTAGAATGGCTTGTTGAGCATCACCCAGCATATCAACATGTCATTATTAGCCAGGAGAATCTGTCCCAACTTCCAGAGAGTGGTAGTGTCCAGCACCGCCTACAGTCCATTAGGATCAGTGAAGCAGGTGATGAAGGAGATGATATCCTGGGGCCATCAAATGGAGATGAGACTGATGGAGCAGAGGGGGGGAGGGCACTTTTCACATCAGGATTTGTTCCAAATGTGAATGAGGAGCGAGTCTCTGAGCTCCAAAACTTGCGCATGGCAGCACAGGCAGGACAAGGGCCTATTCTCATGCCGCACATTGAGTCCCAGCCAATCAGTGAATGGCATGACAATCCTATTGCCTCAAGGGCTTTCCCTAGCCTCTTCCCTTCTGGCCAGGCAGACTTTTGCAGTCCCCATCAAAAACCAGTCTCATTCTCTGAATGGGCTTCACACCTCATGCGATATGAGGATGGTCGCTTTGCAAAACACCCTCGCTTTCGCTATTGGGCATTGAACACAATAATGCGCACTCAGGCCAAAAAAGACTCTTCATGGTATCTTACCACTCACCCAGATGAACGACAGTGGACAGTTGAGCAGATAAGGGAAATGGTGGCAGATGCTGGGCCTGACCAGCTGAGGGAACTAGCAAAGCGTGTCTCCAGATCAGGAGTGAAACTTGCGGGAACTAAACCATTTTGGATGGCACGTCAGAGTGAACTCACCGCCATGATGTATCAGCTCCGTTCACCTCATGCATTCATAACTGCATCAGCTGCAGACCTCCAATGGCCAGACCTCCACCAGCACATGCCACAGTGGGCAGAATCACAGGATGTTGGGGAGCAGGCAGCCTATCGGAAAAGGCGAGAAGACTTAAATGACAATCCTGCCATTGCTGCATACTACTTTGTGAAGAGATGGGAATTGTTTGTTGATTTAGTCCTCAAAAAAAAGTTCCAAATCGTTGATATGTGGTGGCGGTAAGTCAATGGACAGTTTACTTGGTACTGTTGTCTGATTTGTATCAAATGCTTAGTTATGAGTGGCAGTTTAGGGGGAGTAGCCATGTCCATGGCTTCATCTGGTTGAGGGATGCACCACCTGTGGATGATTTGGACCTCGATGATCAGGAGTCAATCCAGAACTTCATTTCTTTCTGGGATCCAATTGTGTCAACCTGGAATCCTGATATGCATGCCTTTTCCCATCAACACGCATCCTCACTATCCTATACTTTACTAGAAGACACCCAGAAGGAACTTGCAGAACTCCTTAACCGTGTTCAGCGTCATTCCAAATGCCCTTCCTCATATTGTTCGCGACGAAACAAACACACAAAGGAAGTGCAGTGCCGATTTGGCTTCCCAAAGGACCTTGATGAGCTCACTAAAATTGTCAGGGATGAGAAAGGGATCATTGATCTTTGTACAAGGAGGAATGACCCAATCCTGAACTCCTACAATGATACTGTCATCCTGGGATGGCGTGGAAACATTGACTTCCGTCCCGTGACAAGCTTCAGTGCTGTTCTGGCATATGCTGCAAAATATGTCACAAAGGCTGAATCCAAATCTCGAACATATGATGAAGTCTTACAAGCCATCCTTGACAGGTCCAATGCTTCAGACCAGGTGCAAGGGGTATATCTGAAGCTACTTCAGACCCTCATCACTGAGCGAGACTTTTCCGCACAAGAGGTCTGCCACCTTCTCCATGGCCTGAAGATGCACCATTCCACACGCTCCTACATATCTGTCCCACTTTTCCCAAGGCCTTCACTCCCACTTGACTTTGAGAATGCAACACGAGAGTTCAAGACACTCAGGGAGAAATACAGCTTGCGGCCTCATAATCTTGGCAATCTGTCCTATTTAGCATTTCTGCGGAGATATGATTATCAAAGCTATAAAGAGCGTGGTGCGAATCCACAGCGTGCAAATGCTGCAAAGGAACGGGTAACCATCATGTATCCCATCCCACACCCACACCCTGAAAATGAAGAAACATATCCCTTCTTTTGTTTTGCAAAGTTGCTTCTTCATTGTCCATGGAAATTAGGTGATGCTTGGCTGGAGGATGAGGATTGCTGGGTGGAGAAGTGGTCTGAATGGTCTGAAGACCATCATGAACTTCTAAATGATGGACTACCTTCTTTGGAGCAGAGTAGGACTGAGGATCAGGATGGTCAGGATGATGAAGATGAATTAGAGGAGCTCACTCAGGAGGAGGGTTTTAACCCAATGGAGGGTTGGCAGCTTGAAGCATTACTTGGGCCCCATCGACAGCCAGGTGTTACAATTGAGGCATTGGGGAGCA